GAAGCCACCTGTGAGGGTTAATTAGTGCTGCTGAAGAGGTCCAGGAGGAATTAATGCTGTGGCCTTGATCTGTATCCCACTGAAGTTAATGGGAGCAGGTGCCGGTCCCATGGAAGGTAAAGCTGGGCAGAGTTAATAGTTATGCGTATTAGCATGGCTGCTGCAAATTAAATTCATTAAATATGGCCAATTAGTGTCTCAAAGTATTAACCATTGTCTGAGCCTCACAATTTGCTTGCTAAGTCCTTTGTGACAGGAGTGGAAGCAGTGAAGTTTTTAAACTTGACTTAACAGTCAATCTAGAAAGTTTTAGAAAGTGAAAATAAGTGGATTACAAACCTGGGCCTGTATAAAGAAAACAGAGCTGTTTGCTTTTCCAGACGTAGTATTAATGTCTGTATTAATTATCAATGTATGTGCATTTAACAGCCTACACGTGGGTTGCCTTCTGGTTGTGCATTCCTTAACTTCCAAGGGAGGGCTGATAATTAGAAGATTTGAATCTGAGTTTTGGTTCTGTCCTTGGCCGCCCACCAGCACAGCACCTGCAGTCCCCACCAGCTCTGGCGTGATTTACCAGGGTGTGAAACTTCTAAAAAATTCAGGCCATTGCTATGCAAATCATTAAAGTGCCGGTTCCATTCCCACTGAAGGTGGTGAAGGTCTCCTCACTGGCTTGAGCAGCAGATACCAAGGGTCCAGAAGCCCAAATGATGGGACACTTCTCAGTTATTGATGAGAAAGTACTTAAATAGGGATTAAGCAAAAGTATGAATGGCTTTAACGTATTTGGACCAAAAAGTCTTCCTCTGGCATTATTTAGGAGCAGGGATAAAATCTGCTTTGATCCCTCTTGCCCTGTAACACTGAACTGTGTTGGACAGCCCTTGCTTGATCTCACTTTCTAATAGATTTTTCTCTAGCATGGAGTGTGAAACTTGGCATGTCAGATGAAGTGCATGGGATTAGTGTAGTAGCTGTATTTTGCATTTCTGTGCCATTCCGTTTCAGGATGCCAAAGTGCTGAAAGCACTTTTAACAGAAAACCAGCCCTTTTTCCTGCAGCAGTCTTAACTGTCTGTGGTAAAATTTGTCAGTGAAAGAAAAGCACTAAACCCCCAAATCAGGGAAGAAAGTGAAAAAGAAACTTTAAAAGCATATTTTATTTCAAGTGCATTGATTCGTGAATGTTAGATCTATGTGTACACTCTATTAATGATTTGTTCTCTGAAAAGAGTCTTTCATCTGAATAAAAGCTCTTTGGCAGATCTTTAAACTGGGAGACTCGAAATTGCTGGAATTATTAAAAAGATCCTAAGTCAGTTAATCATTATATCATTTGGGCTTCAAGGAAACTCTAATGAGTACCCAGCTCTCCCTTCCAGAGCTGGCATTAATTATTTACATGTCCCTGTAAATCACGTCCAGCCACATTGATACTGAAATGGAATTGGATGTCACATCCAGATGTAAGAAAGTAGCCCTTTTCCACCCCAAGAATTGTTGCCTTTGGTGGCTGAGGGCTGTGCTGTTTGCTCTGCTCTGTGCTGTTGGGCAATAGTATTTTTCTAAAGAAGTACCAGCAATGCAGAGGCTGGATCAGATGTACCCAGATCTGTACTTACCCTGGTCTGTATTTATGCAGATACTAAAGCATGTGCAATCTTAATTTGGGGCTGCAACTTCTCAGGTACTGGAGTGTAAACAAAATATTTTGGTGATGTTAATAAATAGTCAAATATATTGTTATTAATATACTTTATTACATTGGACTGTGCCAGTAATATGATAGTGAACTATGCTCTGTATGTACAGGTTCATTGAGTTCTCTGTCTTGAAACTGGACTTGTTCACTACTGAGTCATTGCAAGTGAAATTACACATCCTGGAAAAGCAGCTAGGAAGAAATAAACAAAATAAATCAAAGATAAAATAAAATCATAGCAGTGGGCCAGGTCCTCAGCTGATGTGATTTAGAATCCCTTCCAAGTCAAGACAGGTGTGCTTCAGTAAGGAAGAGGATCTAACTGCTTATGTCTTTATGTCTTTATTATGTCTTTCCACAAATTCACCTGTTGTAGCTCTACTCAATTACCCCTGGAAGAGGAAGTGACAGGGGGATTGAGGGTCTGCCTGAAGAGGGGGATTTCTACCTGAGCCCTCAAGAGATGTGAAGTAGGGATCTGATGAGAAGATGAGTGATCACAGAAATAAGAAATAAAATCTTTTTTTTCTCCATAGTCAAATGATAAGTCAAAGGCATTTTAGAACTCGGATTTTGACATCCAAGAAGTAATATGAAAAACCACGTCAACCTCTTGTCAAAGAGAAATGTCTTCCATCATTTGATCTGCCCAACTGGGTCAGCTCTGCATTTCGGAGGCATCAGTCACTAGGCCTTATTGACATCAGAGTTATGACGAAGTTATAACATTTAGAAGGGCTCAGACTTGGTAACTATGGAAATACCGGTGCTGTCCTTAAAAATGATGTGGTAGATTCCTTAAAGCTTAGTAATGATAGCACAGGGAGTTGCAGGGATATAACCATAACGTAGTACGAGCCGTGTGGGAAGACAAACACGCTTCAATGAAGCTTCCAGTGCTTTCCCAAAATACAGTACAGAGAAAACGTACAGGTGGTTCTGTTTTTTCTCGGGGGTTCTGTGGTAATTTTGGGTTCCTCTGTGTCCCTTCCATAGTCTCACGCCATTTGATGGGCCCCTGGCACCCTGCGTGGCTCTGCTCCACACCCAGACGTGCTTGTTCATGCTGTGAGAT